GCTCTGTGTTTCCCTGACCTGGGGTGTCAGGGCGGGGCGGGTCCCGCTGGCCGTCAGACTCAGGGCTGGGTCCTTAAGTGGAGGGGACAGCTTTGGCTTTGGCCTGCCCCGGCCCAACCTGGCTGCTGGAGGGGACTCCAGAGGAGGCAGCCCTCCTGGGGAATGACCTTCGGCCCCACTTCCAGGGCCTCCTGGAGGAGGGCAGTGTGGGGTGGGGGTGCTGATTTGTGATAGTCACGAGAGAAGGCTGGGAGGTGATAAACATGTCCCCTTTCGATATGCACGCCCGCCCCTTCCACTCTGTCCCCAACGTCTCACCACCCGGAAGCACTCATCGAAAAAGAGGTGAGGGTTTGATCAAACGTTCCTGTTCAGGGGACTCATGAACAACCCCGGTCTTGCGAGGAACCTTCGTGGAGAGGCCCCAGGTAGAGAGCGAACAGGGAGGAATCCCTTAGCCGGCCTGCTCAGCTTCAAGATTTCACAAGCTGATTTGTGGGTTTGTTTTTTTTAAAATGAGGATATTTCTCCATTCATCTTCAGATAGAGTGGGAGGGAGAGAGAGAGACAGACAGACATAGATGCGAAAGAGACACGTCGATTGGTTGCCTCCCGCACGACCTTGACCAGAGCCAGGGACCGAACCACAACGGAGGTACGTGCCCTTGACCGGAATTGAACCCGAGACTCTTTGGTCTCTGGGCCAATGCTCTAACCACTGAGCTAAACCGGCCAGGGCTCACAAACTGTTTTAAAATCTCTTCTTAATTTTAAGTGAAAAAACTAAAAAACAAACAAAAAGCAGAGAATTCTAAGCTGGAAAGGACCAGTCAGACCCTGACTCTGGGTTGTCCAGGCTCTCAGCTGACCTCATAGTGAGCAAGGATGCAGGGACCCCGAGTGTAAATGCCCCCACCCCCCTCCAGGGACCCTGAGGGGTGGTGGAAGGGACAGAAGCCCCTGCCCCACCGCACAGCGCAGCGAGGCCGGACGAGTGAGCGGAGTCCGGGTATTGGGAGCAAGATCCAGCTGGAAAAACAGGCAGGGGGTGGAGAGGACGTCAGCCTGGGCTGGGCCCCGTGCTCCCAAGGCGGGACGGGACCCAGCGACCCTGTGGATTGGGCAGCCGGTGGTGGGAAGGGGCTCTGTTGAGGGATGTTCTCTGGACACGAGTGCTCTGTTCGAACACCATTGTTATGGCCGGTAAGATTGTTGCTCACTGCCCCTGTACCAGGTTTTCTGCCTTGCCACGCCCAACCTTACCTCCTGGTCCCTGGGTGTGGCTCTTCTCCCCAGGGCTGAGTCACCGACTGTCCTAGCAAAGAGTGTGGGAGGTAGGGTGAGACATGACCCTGGAGACAGAGACCTGTGTTCGAATCCCAGCCCTGCCACTTATTATCAAGTGACTCACCTTCAAGTTTCAGTTTCTGTATCTGGAAAACACAGGTGACAATGCCCCGAGGTAGTGCAGAGCAGTGAGTGGGCACCACAGGGGTTCACTATGAGGTGTTCAGTGTCCCCTCTGTCCCTGTCCCGCTGGTATCCCTCTGCAGAACCTGACCTCAAGGGACAGGAAGTTCAGGGTCCACGTCCTTCTGTCTGTCTCCTATGTGAGAGATGGGGACAGACAGGGTGCCTGTGTCTCTCCTTCCTTTGTGCTCTTATCCGGTTCCAGTGATTGGAAATCGGCCAGAATGAGAACGCGCAGGGCGGGAGGGCCTTGTCTTACATCGGGGACTCAGTTCTGGCTGTCCTGAGACCCCATCGGCCCCTCTCTCCTCTTGGTCCAAAGTCTCACGTCTTTACCAACCTGAGATACATTCATTCACTCATCCATCCGCCCTACTATGTGCTTAGCTTACAGAGGGGACCCCCACAGACACAGCCTGCTCCTGACCCAGCCCTGGGCTGGCCCACTCACACCACGCCTGTCAGCAGTCCCCAGAGACATTGACCCCGTCCCCTCTTGGAGGTAAATAACTCCTGAGGAATCTAAACACCAGGGTAATCACTGGGGCTACATGGTCTAGGGTGGCCAGTCCTGGGGGGAGGCCTGCTGGCCGGTGGTGGTAGGGCTAATTATAAAGAGACCCAGCCCTGGTCGGTTGGGCTCAGTGGTTAGAGTGTCGCAGGTTTGATTCCGGTCAAGGCCACATAAGTACCTCGGTTGTGGTTAGTCCCCAGTCCTGGTCAGGGTCGTGCAGGAGGCAACCAAGCAATCTGTGTGTGTGTGTGTGTGTGTGTGTGTGTGTGTGTGTGTGTGATCTATCTCTCTCTCCCTCCCACTCTATCTGAAGATACATGGAAAAATGTCCCTGGGTGAGGGTTAAAAAAAAAAGAGAGAGACACAGAAAAGCCAGTGTTTTCTCCGCTGGGACGTGCCATGTCCTAGCTCGGGGTCTGGAGCACGGCTGCCATCGCTGCACCAGGAGGGACCATCCCGAGGACCAAGCCCACAGTGAAGTGGCCAGCAAAGAGCAGGGCAGAAAGCAGAGGCCAACGACACCACAAGCCAGTAACGAGCCGCCTCCCCCTGGACCTACTGTCCTGTGAGGGCAGAGGAGTCCTCACCGCAGAACCCCACTGAGACCCAGTTTTCGGTGGAAGCTTCCTGATTAGTACAAATGGGGTGGGGTGCAGAGTGGGAAGAGTCGGGGGTAGGGTCCTGGCTCTGCCTTTTGCTGGTTGTGGGACCTTAGAAAGTTCCTGTCCCCATTCTGAGCACCAGGCTGATCAATTTTAAATGGGAATGAATGCTCATACCTGCCAACATTGATACTGTCCAAGTCACAGAGCCTGGAACATGGGAGCTCCAATGGACAAGTAGAGTCCCCAGCTCTTGACCTTGAATAAACTGCACATCATGCATCCAGATCTCATTGACTCAGAGAGGAACTGGGTGGAAAGAGGGGAACACTGAGGAACTATTTTCTCCTCCTGATTTATTTTAGGAGTGACTTCAGATTTGGTTGCTACATAGCAACAACAATTTTAAAAATACTGTATTAAGCTCTGGCTGGTTTGGCTCAGCAGTTAGAGCGTTGACCCACAGACCAATGGGTCACGGGTTTGATTCTGGTCAAGGGCACGTACCTTGGTTGCAATTCGTCCCTGGCCCTGGTTGGGGTCATGCAGGAGGCAACCACTTGATGTGTCCCTCTCACATCGATGTTCTCTCTCTTTCTCCCTCCCTCCTTCCCATTCTATCTGAAGATAAATAGAAAAACATCCTCAGGTGAGGATTAAAATAAAAATAATAATAATAACAACAACAACAATACAGTTAACATTGAAAGGGGGATTACCATGTGCTAGGCACTGTGCTAAGAGCTTACTTTTATTTAATACACTAACCTCATCTTATTTTCTTCTTCTTTTTTTTTTTATCCTCACTTGAGGACATTTTTCCATTTTTTGTTCAGATAGAGTGGGAGGGAGAGAGAGAGAGAGAAACATCAATGTGAAAGGGACACATCTAGTGGCTGCCACCCGCACGACCATCCAGGGCTGGGGACAAACCGCAACCGAGGTACACGCCCTTAGCAGGAATCAAACCCAGGTCTCTCTGGACCACAGGCCAACACTCTAACCACTGAGAAACTGGTCAAGGCCTTATTTTCTTCTTAATTTCATTTATATTTCACACACAAGGAAAGTGAGAGCCCTCCTGGAAGGTCACATGGCTAGTCAGTGGTATAACTAGAATTTGAACTCAGCACACATCGTTCTTAATTCCTATTACACAACTTCGGATGAGGCACTGAGCTTCACACAGGAGAGCTGCTCCATCAGCTGTGTCACGTATGTGTGCCACAGGCTGGAGGTTGTGGGTGGCTCCCGGTGACCCAGCCCTGTTGCTGGAGACACAGCTACTTACATATGAATGACAGATTGTGGACCCTTATATGAAAAAGCTATCCATCCACCCATCCGTCCATCCATCCATCCATCCACCCATCCAAAGTCAGTTTCCCCAGAAGCCCAGACTGAGATGAGGATTCTTGTGCAAGTGAAGGGTTTATTGAGGGAGTGCTCTCAGGAGAAACCTGTGAAGGGACGAGGTACACAGGATAGGCCAGGGACAAAGCGAGCCAGGAGGTGGTTCTAGCGGTCTATCCTCAGCCGGGTCCCAGGAGGAGCAGGGGGACACACAGTGTACCACCCAGCTGTTCCTGCACGGAAGGGGGCGGGCAATTATCCTCTCCATGGTACTACACTCCGTACTCCTTGGTGGTGGTGGGGGGGGGGGGCTAGGTAGTTCCTAGCAGACAAGGCCAATCCTTAAGAGAATGAGGCAGATGTGAACACTTCCCAGACAACATCTGGCTTAGCTGGGAGTAGGGGGACTGGGCCAGAAGGGAATCTGAGTGAGGCACCAACAGCCTCTGCCCCAACCTCCATCTATCTGTCGTGGGCTCGTTGGGTTTGTAAGCATTCATTGAGCACCTGTTATGTGGCGGAGCAGAGGAAACAAAGATGCGACAGATGTGGCCTCCATCCTCCGGGAGCTCCGTCTAGTTGAGAGAGATCAGAGAAGCCCAGACGATGATCAAGGCCACTCAGGGTAAAGCTGGGTAAATTGCAGATCCATAGAGTGCTATGGGAGCTCAGAGGAGGGAGCCAGGGAGGACTCAGCCAGGGGACACTTCTGTGGGAAGCGACCCTTGGAGCCCGAGGAGCCTGGGGAGGGCTTAGCCACCTGGAGACGGCAGGGGGAACATTCCTGCAAGGAGCCCACCTGAGCGAAGGCCCAGGAGCAGGGAAGGAAAAGAGCCTGGAAGACACGTGGCGCGGGCTTGTGGGCCTCTCGTCCGGCCCTGTACTCAAGAGGCATTTATGGAGCCCCTGCGTGGCACCGATGTGGGCACCAGGGATGCGCAGGAGTCCACCACAGGCATGGGCCCCGCCCGCCAGGACCTCCAAGCCTAGTGGGGAGAGGGACACAGCAAGAGGTGGTGCAGGTCCCAGGCTCCTGCGAGAGGCCCTATCCTGGGGTGAAGGAGGGCCGTGGGGTTTTAAGAAGTAGAGTCACAAGGACAGAAAGATCAATGCTGCTGTTTAGAGAGGCCGCTCGGGCTGTGTCTTGGACAGGGCCCCGGAGGAGAGAGGCTGCGCGGGGAGGCCTGCGGAGTGAGGGGCGGTGGCAGGGAGGATGCACCTCGGCCCAGGCGCCTTCCGCACCTGCTGCTCTGGCCCACGCACCATCCCCTGGGGCTCCCTGGCCTTGGCTTGTCCTACAATCTCAGTCCACCCTCAAAGGAGACCGCTGCTGTCAAAGTTGGGAAGATTTAGAAGGTCCAAGAGGCAAAGTAAGTGATGGGGGAGAGGCCGAGAACCCCCCTTCTTGGGAGTATGTTCAAGGAGCCAGGCTGGTTCAGGGGGTTAGCTGCTTCTGGGGCAGGGGTGTCAGCAATCTGGTGGCTTCCAAGGACCCGGCAGGGCGTGTGGGACAGCTGGGCAGGCTTCTTCTAGCACATGGGAGTGTGGCCCTTGCAGCGGGACCTGAAGAATCGGACGAGACGCAGCTTTTTATTGTAGGTGCCCAGGTTGCGCAGCAGGCAGTAGGCCACCTCCTTGTCACAGGCGCACAGCTGCTGCTCACACCAGCTCCCCTTGTCAGCTGTGGGGCGGAGGAGGGGGAGCTCAGTGTCTGTCCCTTCCTGAGACAGAGCCAGGGCTGGGTCGAGCATCCCTGGAGGGGACCCCTGAAGGCAGTGCCAAGCCCACTCAGCTTTAGGGTGTCCTTCCCAGCTACGCTGACTCCAGCTGGGTGACCTTGGGCATGTACCGTGACCTCCCCGGGTGACACTGTGCCTTTATTTATTTACTTATTCATCCACTCAGTGAGCCATTGAGCACTGATCCTATGGCAGGCCTGGGGGTCAGGACTGAACACGGCAGACCCGTGGGTCCCGCCGCCATGGCAGCAGATATTTGAGACCACAGAGTGAATGTCACAGACTGTGCTCCGTGGAGGTAAGAAACATGCAGAGGCTACAGGAAAATACAACAGTGGAAGCAGAGCCATTGGAGCTGAGATGGAAGGGTCTGCCTCCCTGTGCAAAGTCAAGGCAGAGGAGGGGGGAGTGTTCCAGGCAGACGGAACAGAGTGTGCAAAGACTCAGAGGCAGGAGAAACCAGTTTCATTACCTGTGAAATGGGGGTGACGATAAGTGCTGCCTCGGGGAATTGTGAGAATTCAAGTAAGAAGGCAAAGCACTCAGTACATAGCAAGTGCTCAGTTAATGTTGGCGGTTATGATTAGTGTTGTTGTTGTTGTTATTAAGCCCTCTGTAACAGAGACTGCTGTGATGTGTCCACTCGGTTCCCAGCCCATGAACCTGCCACCTAGCTTCAAGCATGGACCCAGTGCCAGGTGACCTGGGATCCAACCCAGGCTCTGTTATTTGTAGCTGTGTGACCCCACGCAAACACTCCTTGGCTCAGTTTTTCTGGTCTATGAAATGGAGACCATCAGGGTGGGGCCGCGTCCTGGCTGGGCTGCTGGGAGGATCAATGATAGAGACAGTAGCCCATGTCACTTATCACGCATGCCTTCTGCAGTGGGCATCGGGAGGCTCATTCTGGCTGCCCCCATTCTAGTTCTTGAGTTAACTACATGGGGTAGAATACTGTTCTCATCTTCCGTTCCCAGATGAAGATACTGAGGTTCAGAGAGGTGGAGCAACACGTTCAAGGTTACACAGCTGCTCACTGGGTCTGGGGTCTAAGTTGAGGTCTGCCAGCCTTCCAGATTCTAAAGGGATTACAGCCCCAGCTGGACCTCACCATACACGCACCCCCATGCCTGCCCCTCCTCCACAGCCCCGCTATCGCCAGCGGACACAGGAGGAAGACCGAGGAGCTGGGGCACCGTGGCACAGAGCACTGTATGAGTGCCCGAACTCCCTCCTCGGTCTCCAGCTCGTCCTGGGGCCCAGGCACTCACAGCACTCGACGGCCCCCTGGGAAAAGTTGTAGCTGTAATGGTCCATTTGCCAGCGGCAGTTGTGCAGCCGCAGGTGATGGTAGCAGCAGTCGTGAGCGTGGCAGCACCTGGAGGGGAGGACAGGAGGTGGGCCGGGAGCACAGAGCACGCGGCCTCAGCCGGCTGGTCTGAGGCAGCCCCGCCCGAGGAGGACCCAGCCCCCCTTGGAAGAGTCAAGACCCCCAGGGTTCTAGGGGTCCGCACGGTCATGCTAGCTAACGCTCACAGAGTGCGTCCCAGCCACCCCACGGCCGGGATACTGGGATGATCCTCATTTCACAGACGAAACCGGGACTCAGGGAGGCCAAGCCACTTGCCCAAGGTCACACAGCCTGTAAGTGGTGGGTCAGGGACGGGACCTGGGCCTGGGCCGGCCTCTCGTCTCTCTTCTGATTGATTCCCAGGGTGGAGATCAAATGAGATCATGGCAAAAAGAGGTGGGTCTTTTTAAAAACAGCGAGCAATGGCAGCAGGTGTGTGGGTATCTGATTAGATTAGGGGCTGGGAATACGGGGGGGGGGGAGCTCTTCAGAAACTTTGGGGAGCCCTCTAGAAGGCAAGCTGCAGGAGGGGGGGGCTGTCTCAGAGCTCGGCAGAATCCCTAGCACGTACCAACATGAATTCACAGAATGAATAAAGAAACAGAGAGAAAGGGGGTCCCTCCCGAGTGCAGGCAGGACAGGATTGCCACCCGCGGGCCTTCCTGGGAAGCATTACCAGTCCGTGGCATCTAGGGGTAGGCCTTTGCCACCGATTCCACAGTGACAGCCATAGGACCAATACATGAGGGGTGTCTTCTTGGTCACTTGTTTGACCATCTTGTTGAGGTTCAGAAACCCACCCTGGATGGGCGTCACACCTGCCAAGGAGCCAAGCGACACAGAGAAGGCGTGAATCTCAGGGGAGCTCAGCGGACCCCAAGCCTGGCACCTCTACTCTACCTGGACCAAACCAGTGACCCTGGATAACAAAATGACATCAACCACTACGGCTCTAAAAAATCTAATGATAGCGAATGAATGTTTCCGATGGGTCTTTCCATGGAGCAATTTATCAACACCATCCATCCCGTGAGATAAATACTATTATTTGTAAATCAACCTGTTCTTTTGTTATATCCTAGACGTATAGAAAAGTTGCAAAGTTTGTATAGCAAGTTCTCAGAGTCTCCCTCACCCACCTTCCTCTAATGTCATATCCTCTTACATACTTGTGGTGTGTTTATGAAAATGAAGAAACCGACATCAGTACAACAAACCTATTTTGAATCCCTGCTAGTTGGTCCCGGTCATAGTAGTTGGAAAGTGGCGGAGCTGGGCTGGAGACCCGTGGCCGTCTGCTTTCATCCCCTCCCTGGCCACTGAGGTCCCCGTTCTGTAACAGGAAGACTCACCCCGCTTCCTCAGCACCCTGCCCCCACCAGCACCACTTTGGGTAGAGAAATTTGCATAGGGAAGAGCCAGACTCTTCTGGGAAACAGCGTGATTTAGAAGTCAATGATTTTCATGGATAGTTTTCATTTCAGTCCGATTAGCTTCTGCTTAGAATTGACCTTAGGGGAATTTATTTTACCGGGAGAGAGGAATGCATTATGATGAGTGAGGAGAAATGAGATATATTAATTCAATGAATTCAAGGGAGACTTTGGGAGGAAGAGATAAAATAAGAAGGGGACTGAAATGTATGTGTGTGCAACTCCACAGATGATCCAGGAACACAGATGGAGTCCAGCCGGTGTGGCTCACCCAAACAAATTAAATAGTGTACCCAGGTGTGAGCCCCAACTTGGGGCAGGCTGGGGTGGGAGGAGGGGGTTGGGAGAGACTTGTGCAGTGGACCAAGGGTGAGACCACAGGAGCTGGTCTTGGGCTGAGCTAAAAGTGACTGGCGGTGTCTGGTACTTGCAGGCCTGCTGTGTCCTCAGTGTGTCTCCTCAATGTGGGAGAAGCCACATTGCTACTCCCGTTTGACATGGTGGCTCTAGGTGCAGGGATGTTCAAGAGGAAACTTGTAAGCTTTGACGGTGCTAATGATCTCAGACCCTCTGGAATCTGGAGGCAGTGATAAGGATCCGAAAGGCAACGCATTGCCCAGAGAGTGACCGTCCCTCCACCACGTGGGTCAACCAGGGACCTGAACTCAGACTCTTGCCTTGTTGGTATACCCCCTGCCTCTTTCTGCCCTAAATCTAGCCTTTTCCATCTCAGCGTAGAAATACACGCACAAACCAACCATCTCACCTCTGAACCACGCGGCTGTCCCTCGACAAGCAAGCCATCCATTCAGCTTTGATGCGGGATGCCTTTGGTCTTATTTCTTACCGTTTTACCTTGAGGTGAGCCCAGCTCTGAGCAACTGAGTTCAGCCTGCGGCCAGGAGGGCTTTGGTGAACTGCCTTAGCTCGTCGGCAGCCCTGTCTTAGTAGGTGTCTCCATCTTACCGCCACCAGTGGAGGATGGAGCCCTTTTCCCAAGGGTTCCCCCCACAGGTGGGAGGTAACATTGCTACCACCTACTGCATGTGCTGTGTGAAGCTATTGCTTCCTTAATGTTACTTACAATTGTGAAACATTTTATGTATTTTCTCATTAGAGTCCTGCTAACAACCCTGAGAAGAGGGTGCTGTTGTGTCCATTTTACAGGTGTGGAGGGAGAGAGATAGGGTGGCTTGGCCAAGGTCATATGGCCAGAAGATGGTAAGGCCAGCGTTTGAATCCAGTTTATCTGTGTGTTTTGCCTCTTTACATCTGAGAGAGAAATAGTTGTAGCTTGCTTGTAATTTTCCTAATGATTTTTACTAGAGGTGTGTTCCTCTGGAGAATTTGGGAGTCCCAAGATAACATACAACCACATTTAAAAATGCGTCCTTTTGCCGTGCCAGTGTGGCTTAGTGATTGAGTGCCGACCCATGTACCAAGAGGTTCGATTCCCGGCCAGGGCACATGCTCAGGTCGTAGGCCTGCTCCCCAGTGGGGGACATGCAGGAGGAAGCCAACTGATGTTCTCTCTCATCGATGTTTCTCTGTCTCCCCTTCTCCCTTCTTCTCTCTCTAAAATCAGTAAATAAAAAATAAAAATGTGTCCTTTCTAAAAGCACATATTTTGAGATGGTCAAAAGATAAAAATGCCAAGTTTCTAGCAACAAATCTTAACATTTGATCTGCTAAAGGTTGAATGGAAGTTGCCCCGTCTCCCACCACCGGTCAACAAACCCTCTTCTCGGGTTCAAGGGAGATCATGAGCATGAGTGGATTCTAAGGATATGGAGTGCTGTGTCCATGTGAGTTATTATTCGGTCAAAAGGACAGAGGGGAATAAGGTGAGGTGAGGAGATCCATTTCTGTCATTTTTGTCCAAAGTATTGAAGGTGTCAGCCCAGCAGGCCCCTGGATTCGGAACCTTTGGTTCTGACCTTCACAGCTGTCCGGAAGCATGCCACACAGCTTGGCCACCCAGATCCCTCAGCCAAAGCCACTGTTCTAGGGGACTGGAAGGCACAGGTGGTTCCTTGCAAGGGTCAGAGGATTGAGGACTTGAGGTGCCAGGGCAGTAGGGATCGTAGCAACAGTTCAATCTAGGACAAAGGCATAGGGCCTACCCACATCCCTTCCCCCCTTCCCAGCCATGGTTCCCGTCCCCACTCACCAGCAAACACCAGGAGTGCACACAGCAGGGTAAGCTCCATGATCCCAGCCCAGAGCAGGGGCACCAGCTGCTGGAAGTCCCTCCGTGCAGGTCGCCCTTATATACGATGCACCCCAGGAATCCCCGGCCGAGCCTGACCCTGACCCTGACCTGCCCAGCTCTGGCTCTTGTGGCGGGTTAAGTGCTCCCCGTTTCCTCTTTTCTGGCCCTGGGGAATTTTTCTATTTTTCTAAGCATCCATGTTTAAACTTTCGGATTGCAAAGGAAACACATGTCCAGTGGAGAAGATTTGGAAAACATAAACGGTAAGAAACATTTAAAATCACCCGTGGACCAGTGAAGCACAGGTGTGCCCCTCTGGTTCGGGTGTGCCCCTCTGGTTCGGGTGTGCCCCTCCGGTTCGGGTGTGCCCCTCCGGTTCGGGTGTGCCCCTCCGGTTCGGGTGTGCCCCTCTGGTTCGGGTGTGCCCCTGTGGTTCTATCGCTTCTCTCTCCACTTTTCCCCGACCAACTCAGGAAAATGTAGTAGGTGGGCCTTTGCAGTACTGGTAGCCTCTCTTTTCACTGAGCAATACAACTGGAATATATTTCTATGTTGTTAAATATTCAAACACTTTGAAAGGCAGCCACATATTCCATTATACGGCTATGCCATTCATTTATGAATCCCCATACGGGTTAGTTTTTCCTATTTTTTTAATCCTCACCTGAGGTTATTTTTCCATTTTATCTTCAGATAGGGAGAAGGGGGTGGGGGGAGAGAAAGACACCAGTGTGATAGAGTCACATCGACTGGTTGCCTCCCGCACAACCCCGACCGGGGCTGGGGACCCAACCACAACCAAGGTAAGTGCCTTTGACTGGAATCGAACTTGTAACTCTTTGGTCCATGGGCCAATGCTCTAACCACTGAGCCAAACCGGCCAGGGCAATGGGTTAGTTTTTTCTACTCTAGACTGTACAGAGGTACAGTGAAAGAAACCCTAGAGGCTGAATCTCAGTTCGTGTCCAGAACTGTTGCTGCAGGAGCAACACCTGACGTGGACTTGCTGAGTCAAAGCACATGCCGATTTGAAGGCACTGACGCGTCGACGACGTGCGGAAGGTCTGCCCCAGTTCACATGTGAGAACCAAATGAACACGTGGGGTGGCTCCAGCCCAGCGAGGGGCGGGCTGACGGCAGGACTCACGGAGGCACTGCGAAGAGATGGTCTGCACAGAGGCTCCACGGATAACCTTTCCAGGTGTAATGGAGAGTCCATAGGTAGCAGACATTGGTTTTCTTCTGTGTCCATGAGATGGCTGTTCACGGACATAGAGCACCAGCGAGAGTCACTGCTCAGAGTTGTTCTCTCTCTCAACCCTCTTCCTCTTTCTTTCTTTTTTTTTTTCCCTCACCCGAGGACATTTTTCCATTTTCTGTTCAGGTAGAGTGGGAGGGAGAGAGAGGAACAGAGAGAGAGAGAGAAACATCGACGTGAAAGGAACACATCGAGTGGCTGCCACCCCCACAACCGACCAGGGCCGGGGACAAACTGCAACCGAGGTCTGTGCCCTTAGCGGGAACCGAACCCGGGTCTCTCCGGACCGCAGGCCGACGCTCTAATCGCTGAGCCAAACCGGCCAGGGCCTCTTCCTCTTTCTTCTACATCTAATTTTTCCTTTGTTCCTTGACTCCATCACCATCTGATCCCCTCGTATGTAAGAAAACAGAATTAAAAGCAGGGTAAGTGTCTCTGGCATCTTCCTTGACATGCCCCGCTGATGTGTGTTCAATAGTCATTCCCTTGTACTGATACCAGCGTAGGACCAGACCCTACGAGCAGTCTTCTAGATTTGGGCTCTTGATGGGGCCTGTGGCTACCTCCCAGAGCCCCAGCTTCCCCTGATCTGGTATCCTTTGGGCAGGAGCAAAAGCAGGCAGGGCCAGAAGGCTTTATTGATTCCAGAAAGCTTTTCCCTAGTGGGAGAGGAGCCCTGATATTGATTCTATAGAGGGGTCTCACCAACAGTTGTCCTGGACACCTCCGGAGGCCCCATCTGGAAGGCTGGGTTTGGGGTCAGAGGAACCTGGTTCAAACTCTGGCTCCTGCTCTTACCATCTGTGGGACCCTGGGCAAACCCCTTCCCCTCCATGAGTGTTGGTTTCCACATTTGCAGGACGGGGACAAGATGGGGATGGCAGTCCCTCCCCCCTCTGGTTCAGGGGGTTTAGAGATCACAGCATTCAGCTCACTGCACCAAGCCTCACCCCCAGAGAGAATGCCACACGGCGACCACGCGTGGGTTCCGTAGCGTTATGTGGAGGTGCAGAGGATGAGGAGGTGGAGGCAGAACCAGACTGCCAGGATTCCAGCTGCCGCACCTCACGCAAGGTGCCCGGCAACGTGTCTTGTTTTCTCGTGGGTGTAAGAGGCGTGATGAGAGCACCTACTTCACAGCCTTCTTGTCGGGGTTCAACAAGATGATATGTGAACAGGGCTTGGTCCGTAGCTAAAGATGGATAATGTTAGTTGCGGTTATTCCCACCTTCTTCCTCTTCCTGATCACCCACCTGTTGCTTGTACTAGAATACTCTTTTCTTCTGCATCGTCTAATCTGCTGTCCGTTCTGTCCACTGTATCTTTCACCTCAGACAGTGTATCTTTCCCCTCTAGAAATTCAATCTGGGTCTTTTTATATCATCTATGTTTCTAGTTAGTAGACACAAACTCTTCTCTGTCTTCTTACACATAGAGAATATAGTTATAAGAACTGTCTTAATGTCTGTATCCAGGAAGTCTATCATTTGGGTCATTTCTGGGTCTGCTTCTATTGACTGATTTTTTTTTGTCTCTCATGATGATTTTTAAGATTACCATGGCTTATTAGTATAAATAACACTGTGATGATAAAACTTGTTTTTAAAGGGTGGTTTCTTTCAAGTAAATTTCCAGAAGTGAAATTGCTGGGTCAGAGGACAGAAATGTTTTTAAGTCTCTTCTTTTCTCTGAAGTCTGTAGAAATTTAGAACTTCATCTGTGGCATATGAGTCCTTCTTGGACCTGGTGACTTCTTGAGACTTGTCAGCAATTCTGTGGGTTTTTACATCCCTGGGAATAGTAGGAAAGACACTTGCTAATGCATCGCGATCTCTAGGTGGAGATGCACAGGGCCGCGAGGGGGTTTAGCTGCTGGAGTACATTTTGACAAAGAAGAGTTACCATCTGCGGAGCCTCTACCTTGTGTCAGGCACTCGCTTATTATTTAAGAGTCACATCTACACCGTAAGGGAGATACTGCTGTGTCCATTTCACAGGTGAGGAAACCGGAGCTCAGAGAGATTAGACACCTACCCGGGGTCGCACAGCAGGTAAGTGTCAGAGTTTGGGTTAGAACACAGGTCTTCTCAGAGCTGCATTACCAGGCACTTTTCTGAGTGGTCCCGCATGGTCAGTGGAAGTGGTTCCTGCCCTTGTCCCCATTTCACAGAGTCATTGTACCCAGGGGCTCAGCCATAACTTTCTTGCCCTCTGGGTATAGATGGAGGTGGACATGAGGAGAGCTGGTGGAGGCTGGAAGTCTGAAGTCCTCAACCTCACTGCTGAGGACCCCCATCTCCTAAGAGATGAGGGACAGTAGGTCCTCTCAGCCAGTGACCAGGTCCTCTCTTCAACCGATCCCTCCCGTCAAAGCTCTGTTTACCAGGATGGTCCCCTGCCTGGACTCTGTCCATGATGAAACTGCCAGAGAGTGTGGAGACCAGGCTCGGGGTCACTGGATGAGAGGAAATGAGAGGAGCTGGGCTTCCCCTGGGGCCCCAGCTGCCTTTCTGACAGGCCTGGCAGGGGAGGAGGAGGGAGGCAGAGAGCCGAGATTCCTTTGGAGGTGAACGACCCTGTTCTTCGGCTGCACCAAGGCGGAAGCAAAGCAAGTGGATGAAACGCCTGGAGATCCCCGAAGGTCCGTCTGCAGGGAAAGGCAGTCCGGGCTTGGGGGGAACATCTGTGAGACGTGGCAAACCAAAAATGGACAATGGGGGCCACGGACCCCTCTGTGAGGAGAGATCTGGAGCCCCTCCGGGCTGTGGTCTCACTCTTAGCATAGCACCTGGGTGAAGGAGCTTTCGAGTTTAAAGATGTATGTTCTGAGACACGAAGGAGGGGGTGACTTGCTCCTTGCCTCAGGATGTTCCAGTCTAGGGGTACAAACCCTTTGGGCAAGACAGTTCAAATATCCGGGCACTTGGTTTGGTTTTGACCTGCTGAGTTGCTCGCTCTGGTTCTGAGTGTATTTCGTTTTGTTTTTTAAAAAAAATATTTTTTTTTCTTTATTGATTTTAGAGACAGAGGAAGAGAGAGAAACATTTAGAGAGAGAGATGAGAGAGAACATCGATTGGCTGCCTCCTGCACTGGGGTTCAGGACCACAATCTGGGCATGTGCCCTGAGTGGGAATCGAACCGGCGACCTCTGTGTACACGGGTAGACACTCAACCAGTGAGCCACACCGGCCGGGCTGAGTGTATTTCTTTCCTACAAAAAATTCCTCGCCTGTTTTTCCAGCTTGAATTCGTTGCTACAAGCAGGACTAGGGCAGTAGCCGCCTCCTGGGGTGCAGAGTGCTGTCTGCGGCCAGAGACCACCTTGACCGCTGCTGACAGCTGTTTTAATCTGTGCATGTCCCTATGTATATTATACTTCTACAAACTTGAGTGATGGCGAGCAAAGCAAACGGGCAGTGGGAATTGCTTTTAGATGATGAACTCCAGGTGTGGCAGAAAAAACACCCCGCTTTGGTATCAGACACGTCTGGGTTCGAATTTCAGCGGAATGGTGACATCGCCCTGATTACATTACATTGTCTCCCTGGGCCTCATGCTGACTTCCCATCCAACACGTGGGCCCAGGAACGCGTCCCCTGTAGGATGGCTGGGGTGCTCGCAGCTGGAATGCTTGGTACACAGTAGGTGGTCAGTACACGCATGGCACCTGGTGACCCCTCCTCCCAGGAGGAAAGAGTCTAAGGTTCTGACCAAAGCAAGGGACCGGGCAAACTGACCTCTCCCACGCCTCAGGCCCAGAGACCTTCGTTTCTAA